CTCAGGGAACTGGTAGAGAGGAAGGAAATTTCGGTCATCCACGTGCCGTCGCCGTACCAGCGTGCAGACTTTCTTACGAAGAGCTTGTCGAAGGATGCTTTCGAGTCTCACGGTGATTTTGTGATGAATTTGGCATGAACATTTATTTTTCTGATGGGTTGTGTTTTGGTCTTGTTTTGTTTCCCGTTTTGTTTCATTTCCCGCGCCAAGTATTTGTTAAGCGCGATGCAGCATTCATGTTTCTTTGAATTGTTTTTCTCTCTTATTTATATTATTCTGGTCAAGTCTTCGTGGTATATATTCTGGGAGAGACGTCTATTGGTTGAGATATCGGGTGTTAGCGAAGTTTTCAGTGAGAAACTGTTGCGAGCAGGGGGGATGTTAGATATACTCGCAGCAATATCTGGTCGTGAGGATCCCAGGGGGATACGTGTTGGGAATTTCGTGTGTTAAAGGGTACCACCGGCGCAGTCACGGGGACCCTTTGGGCGTGGTCGGTGCGATGATGAGGCTTGCGTGCGTGCTGCGCACTTCTACTTCTCCTTCCCTCGCTCTCCACCACCACCACCGTCTCTCTCCACCACCACCACCGTCTCTCTCCACCACCACCACCGTCTCTCTCCACCACCACCACCGTCTCTCTCCACCACCACCACCGTCTCTCTCCACCACCACCACCGTCTCTCTCCACCACCACCACCGTCTCTCTCCAATCAAGTTTCCTTCTCCCACTCTCTCTCCAACTCTCTCTCGCCCTCTCTCTCTCGGCCTAACACGGCCGACTACCCAGTGCCCCAAAGTAACGTTCAAAACGTGCTTGCTGCACCCGCGTAGTTTACCTTTCAAACAAGGTTGCAATATCTCATTCCAGCCGTAACTCGATTTCTTGTCAGCCAAGCGACTTAATTGTTGACCATCCAAGCGGCTGCGAAGACCCGGGCGCTTGTTTCATAGTGAGGAGTGCTCCGGATCTTAACGAAAGCACCCTTTTCCGGTAGCCCTCGCAGGGTGTTTTATTCAGCAAACATGTTGGATAAAATACAGTCAACAATCGGGGGAGTTGGGTTCGGGTTGGGGTCATCAGGGAAAAAGGGTCTGCGTCCCCCCTTCCTGTTCTCTTGCCTCATAAACCTGATAATTTCGCGAAGGCGGTCCCCCTCTTCGGCATTGGTGTCCTTGCGGTCGTGCAGTCGTCAACAGATGGGAGTCTGCGTACGGGACGTGCTGTTACTCACGCAACTACGGTACACAGAGGTAGATCGCGCCTGCACCCGCTACCCTCGATCGTGGTAGCCAGCAGCCAGGCTCCTGTTTGCACTAAGAGAAGTCCAGTACGATTGGCACAGCGAACGTGAGAAATATTTGAAGGTCATCACGACAACCTGTGTTTTAGTCCTCCGCCTAGAAAATCATTATTTAGGAAAAGGAAGAGCTTCGGAGTATGTTGTAAGAAAAAAAGACACGATGTCTGCGGGCGGAAGTAGGAAAAGATCGACACACATCTTGAAGAAGCTTTTGCCCTTCAGTCCGTGGCCCAAATAACAGTGTAGAGAAGAACAGAGCTCGTACACTAGGATATTGATTCGATGGTGGTGTGCACCACCCAACGAATGCCCGTACCAGGCAATGCTTGACGTACAGGATAGCGCCAAGGACAAGAGTAAACAAGGCTGAATATTGGCGTTTTCATTACGTTCCGGTGTCACCTTGGTCTCACCTTTGCGCAGCCTAGCGCATTTCGTACAGGACGATAGCGAAACGCTCCAAATCTGGCTCGGATGCGGGCGTATTCTTGGCTGAAGACGTTGCCGAGCAAGGATTTGAGGCGCCCTCAAGCATACTACAGGGTGGGGGCGTGCAAGGTGAGTTCAACCTATGCTGCTGTTGTACACAGCAAATTCCCCTGGATCGATCGGTGCTTGGTGTGTGTCGGTTCTATTTTTGGAGGCAGCAAGGCCTTGGTGGTAGTGGTGGCGATGAGCCGCGAGCCATTCTCAGCGCATGGCAAGGCTCCGTTGCCCCCGCTCACGAGACAGGACCTCAAACCGAGCTTTCCCTCATCTGGTTGCGTTGCGCCTCAACACAGGGTGTGCATGTTGCCCCCCCCAACGGCACCCTGTCTGGTTTGGTACTACGGTGCCCCGCTCGTCCCCTCTCCACTCGTTGCATGTGGCTCTGTCTCTTTGCTTGTTCCGCCCCCATCTACAGTATCTCTCGTCACATGCATTTTCCTCCCTCTCTCACCATCCTCCCTCTTTCCCCGGTTCCCGCCGTGTTCACCCGTTTCCAATCGAAACGACTGTTGTTTTTTCCGGCCCCCTCCATGGGGGTGTTGTCTTCCGTTTGGTATCCGTTGCCCTTCCCCAGGGGTGCGTCGGGGCAGGCCAGATACCTCCTAACAATTACGCTGCAGCATTGCACACGACAAACGGATGCCCTGGTATTCTAGAAAGAAAGTGTTACAAAAAACGAAATACATACGCGTACGAGATTATTCTCAAGAGGGGGTGGGATGGAGTCTTTTCAGTGAGAGGATCCGAAGTACTTTTGCTCAACGCCTGCCTGCAGACAGGGTAGCAAAAACCAAGATGAGCGTTGGCTACTATTTTTCCACGCGGTGATTGAGTATGTATCGTATTAAACGCGCCTGCGCGCGTGGCTGCTCGTTTGTATATTTTTTTCTGTTGTTCGCTTTGCACCCCTTCCGATGCCCGCCGAACCGATGGTCAGTCTCACCAACGGGCAGAAGCTGCTTCGAGCCTGAATGCAGATGGAAGAGAGCGCTCCGTGGGGCCACGTTTTTGCTACCTGGTATATGACTAGTAGCGCATCGAACTGCCAGATCAATGTACTGCTGTGGACTCTAAACGGACAGCACTGCCTCCCCGATATTCCCCTGGCGCTCCGTGCTTGAGTATCACGTGTGCTACGAAATTCCCCACGCCCCGCGTTCTTTGTTGAAAGATTTGGCTCGTACGTTTCACTGGGTTGGTTCGCATCCGTCCGGTGAAAGTACCGTCGGATTTGTTCTCCTTCAGATGTACCCGTCTCGCTTGTCCTTTGGACCTTTCCCTGTGTTACCCTTAAGCCCCCTCTTCTTTCTTTTTTTTCTCAATATGACACAACGAGTCCATCTCCATCCTAGAAAAGAGTCAGAGACAGATCAACAATGGAATCATAGCTTCAGAGAAAACTACCTGTGTGTCTACGATTTCCCAGACAGCATATATATAGGGACATCTCCCCTGTGGGTAACAGGCTCAACAAATCAGTTTGGTAGCTGTCTTGTGTGTCTCATATATGTTATGTTGGGAAGGTGCAGACGAAAGGTGTTGGGTACTGTTGGGTAGTCGGGCGTTTTGTGTGTCGCACCCTATTAGTTGTAGGACATGCAATCTCCATCAGTTTACAAACATATTCTCAGTTTGGTATGCATATGTGCGGAGTATGTGCGGCTGATGTGCCATCTCTAAGCACTGTGTAACTGCCTCGAGGGTGCTTGGCCATTTTAACACGACGTGATGCGATCATCCCCCTTGCGCGGAGTGAGGGTTCCCGACCCCGCACAACATGATCTACTCGACCACCATTATGGTTACCGCCGAAAAAAAAGAACGAAGGTAACAAAAAAACAGTAACCGGGTTGCCGAGTTCACGAAGTGAATTGGCTTTGTTTGACAACATCGTTGCCAAGCGACGAAACACTAACCCCGATGGCAAACACCGCGGCACAGAGTACAGTAGACATGTGTGACATACGTCGGCGTGGCTTTTGTTGTCCTGATTCCACTCCGAATCTTTGATTCGAAACTCGAAACTCCACTCTGACTCACCGGGGGGGGGGGTTGTACTCAAAGTCGTGCATGCCGTAGTCGTTAGACCATTGACCTCGCATCCCTACAAAGCCGGGACGGAGCACGCCGGGTTCTCACCGGACCAGGCTCTCACATCACCAAGCGCGAAGCGCCGTGAGATATTCGGCGAGTCGCATGAAGGGTGCGCTGCATACTGCTAAGGGTGTTCGGCATCTTGTGCTTACTTCCTTGCGTACGGATGACAGCTGCGCATGACTTAATTTATTTTCTGGTGCTTTCACTTCCAGCGACAGTTGTAAGCACTGTGTAACTGCCTCGAGGGTGCCTGACCATTTAACACAACGTGGTGAGATCATCCCCCTTGCGCGGAGCGAGGGTTCTCCACCCCGCACAACATGATCTACTCGACCACCATTATGGTTACCGCCAAAAAAAAAAATAACGGTAACCTGGTTGCCGAGTTCACGAAGTGAATTGGCTTGTTTTACAACGTCGTTGCCACGCGACGAAAACCCAATCCCGATGGCAAACATCTGACTCACCGGAGGGGGGGGGGATAAGCGCAACCCTTGGAGGTTGACGGGCAGTCAGGGACAATATTGGCGTGTAGCCTGATGGGTTGGGCGCGAAATTCGTGGTTGAAACCAATCCTCACCGCTACCAGCTTCAACCTTGTCGAACGTCCCGTCGAAGGCATTGAATGCGTGAAGCGGCCAAAAACAAACGACGGCAGGCAAAAAAGCCGACAGTTCTTCGGTTCATTGTCTTCGCTTTGCTCAGACGGTAAATGCTGAAAGAGCAGGAACGCTTAATAACAACCGCGTTGGGGCCACGCGGCAACCAAAACAACCAACAACGACCACACGCTCGCCACTACTAACACAAAAAAATCGAGCACCGGACCGACCACGAAGCATGCAATCACTACTGTATCGCACACGTGCCGACAGAGACACATCACGGAGTACAGAGGAAGTTCATTGTTGGTTCCAAGAGCTGACGAATCCCATCGCGGATTGTTGAAGATGACGAAGCCCATCGTGGATTGTTTCAGTTCACGAGTGCCATGCACCACGAAGCCGTCCCCCCCTCCCCCGTTTTCAGCGTTCAACCGTCACGGGCCCCCTGAAATCGCGCGTCTTGTCGAACGGCGTCGCGTGCAACGGTGGATACCAGAGACCAGCGCCGCCCGTCAGCTGCCTATACTACACCCTCGCTGCTGTTGTAGCTTGCGATATGCCTGACTATACCTCTCATCGTACCCCGACCGCCTTCGACGCGAGACATGCCTCACACCAACGCAAATACCGCACCAGACATTCTCATTAACCCCTACAGCAGTTGCAGGAGCTTGTCCACAAAACGGCTGCGAATAGGGGCTTCCATTCCACTCCACCAACCTAGCGTCGGACCTCACTCAAGATACACCGAGTGTGGTGGGGGTCAATTGTAGACACCGAGAGTGTTTTGTGCCCAGGGCATCTCATGTACAAACCTCGCCCTATATTCGCAACGCTGGAACGAAGGATTCTTCCATCAGGCACACCTCATTCAACCCAAAATTTCGCTCCTGCCCCCCCCTCCAGTCGCCAATAGCCCGAAAGCCTCTGGGTCCCGTCATAACCTCCCCGACTAATAGCGTGTTCCGTTACCATCTACGAAAAGCAAATAATCCGCACTTTCCAGATACAGGCAATAACACGACATGGTACAATTCCCAGAGCCTTTCGCGCCGCCGGAGCCACCGCGAACCACGGACATCACCTCCAAACATGCAAGTAGCCAACGGACGCTCTGTATTAACTGCCTTGCCAAGAGGGAGGAGCCCGGCAGGAGGGTGGGCGGACAACTAAGGGTCGGACCAGCTCCTCTGGTTCTGGAAGCACACGGAAGTGAACCTCGCTACCGCGGTGTCGAACGATTCCCTCCCCTTGTCCGCCTGCGGCCCGAACAGCTTCTCCATGAGCTCTTGCTTCTGGTAGTTGTCCGCCACCTTCGTCGGCAGTGCCCCGAGGGCCTGCTGCAACCACTCCTGCAAGACGGGGAGAGGTCAAAACCTGTCGAAGCACACCCCAGGGACACAAACGACTTCCAAGACGAAATACTTGAAAAGTGTCGCTAGTTTGGGGGGACAAAGAAGTTCGCGGGCCCTGCCGCAACCACTCCCGCAAGAAGGCGGAGGTGAAACAGTCCTCAAAGCACGATAAGAACACGAACCAACTCTGAGACGAAAACCTATGCATTGGTTGTTGAGTGACAGCAAGGTACGCGGTAAACAACACAGGCGTCTGTGCTGTCGCCAGGACGCGCGAACAACGGCAGTGGCAGACGCCGACCACGCGGACCGAACTTCCAAGCACTACACCGAGACCCCCTTGCCCGAACAAGCACACGTCCGTTCCCTCACAACCGTTGCACACACCTGCAGCCAGGCGGGACACAGCCGCGAAATTCTCCACATCAACCCCGCCACGGAGCCCCCGTCCCCGTCGACTGAGTACGACGGCTGCTCCCCCACGCAGCACATAACCAGTTCGTGGACTAGGCCTGGCCCGTGCTCCCGCAGCACCTGCGCTCGAGCGAAACAACGGCAATCACGAGACCAAAGGCAGAGGGAGAAAGACAGAAAAAAGGCCACGGTCGGGACACATGCGTATCCGGCTTTTCGTCGAGACATGCGCGGCAGACACCCAAAGCCTACTTGCCGGGCATGAGATCTGTGCCGGGGAAGCGATTGCTACGCACAACATCAAACATCCAACACAGTACCTCTCAACGGCTGGAAGAGACAAAAATAACGTTCCTGCAGTAAGACTCGTGCACAACGGGGGCGCCAAAATGACCCTCAGGCCGGCTACACGCATCGAAAATCTCTACCCACACACAAACACTGCTCCGCCCTCTCGAGAACGCGTTGTCAATCGAACAACTGAGACGTGCAAAACATTAGTACCCCCACACCCCCCCTCGCCCACCTGCTCCACGGTCGGTATGAACTGCTGAGCCCTCGGGTTAGCCTTCCCCGTCGGGCCCTCTGTCATCGCGAGCCCCACGACCTCCTCCAGGCAGTGGAGCACCCCCCTCTGAGCCTCTCGGTGGTGAAGCTGCAGCCCCACCATTCCGCACCGCACCAACGAGGACAGCAGGGGGCTGCTTTTCATTGGCCGGTGTGCACGGTCCCCCGATTTCGTGCATCATGCACCGAAGAGCGACCAGAAAAAGAAGACGGAGTGTCCACGCACAACGGCAGATACGTGCAGGAAGAGGACTGGTCAATAAACAGCAAACCGGGCAGTGTGGTGGGATGATCGACGGGTTGGAATGCGGATAGACCCCATCAGGTGCAGACACGAACGTCATGCCAACGCCTGGAACAAAATAACACGAGGCACAGGGCACAACCGCCATCTCCCCAACAGACCAAACAAGACCAGGGTCGAGGATTGCCTAGCAGGCGGGAATGAAGCCGGATGTTGGCTGTTGAAAAATAATTTTCGCCTTTTTTACCTTGTAACGAGCGGGTCGGGGCAGTAGTCCACGAATCGGCCCACCAGGTAGAAGAACTCCTCTACCACGTCCGGATTAGCCGTAAAGTCATCTAACGTCTGCAGAGACAACACAGACAGACGCGCAAAAACCCGCGGGTAGGAGGTAGCGGGGCGCGTTCGAAAGCGAGAGGCTGCAGCGAAACACGCACAAGATGGAGATGAAAGAGCACATGCGCGCGGACACTGAGGGAAAAAAACAAGTCCCTCGGCCGGCGGCTGGGGTCTTAACATGCAATCCGAGAGAGTGCGTGCGTGTTCTGCAACGCAGATTCCCTGTACACAGCAAGGGCAAGGGCCACGCACAGAGGCACGCCACGTATTGTAGAGAAACACAAGACCCCATCGAGCCCGGCTAGCCTTGCGGGGGGAGCGTACCTGAAGGAGGGCGGCAAGGGTACATTGGTAGAGTGACACAGTGCACGTACAAAGGTTCGAGGCCGTAAAACTGGTGAATGAGAGGCTGGCCGGGAGGATCTTTGTCCCCCGCCACCAGACAAAACACACCATAAGAAACCGCCACAACACTGTGTGCATACCAAGGCTGATACGTCCAGGTATATATGCCGAAAGGCCTGTAAACTGGCCAGAATAGATAGGACGAACACACACACGCTATCAAGGCAGCAACAGATACACACCGCCCGCGAAGAACCATCCATCTTTACGGATGGGCGAGAAAGCCATACAAACAGACCTGAAGACATCGGAAAACCGCCTGCGCGAAGTCGCTGAGCATCTGGAACAGTAACGCGGTGAACCCTGGCCCCTTCCTGCCGAATTCCGTCACGCAGATGGACCCGCAGTACAGGCACGAGGAGTGAGGCACGACGCTGAACGTGCCCACCAGGTGCGCGATTAGCGGCTGCATCATCAACGACAGCGATCAAGGGGGAACGATCCGGGGGAGGGGGGGGGCGGGGGGGTTGTGAGATGTTGATTGTCGCCCGCTGCGGTTGGTGATATTGGTTGCTGAGCGTGCAAGAGGGCGAGTAGTAGACGAGGTAGGGCGAGGAGCATGAGGGAGGGTCGGGTGGCCATTGTTGAGTACACTCTGAGTGTGCCCCTTTGAGAGGTATGTAAGCGAAAAAAACACGGCTCCGCCAACTTGGTAAGAAAACGTTGGCAGCGACATCGTGGACATCGGACTCGCCTCGACAACTGCCCTGCCCCCAACCGGTTCGCACAGCAAACGCACGGATAATGACCAGCTTCCGGTTCATCCTCGTGAAACGTACATATCCTGGGTGGGGGAAAACCCGCGGCCGGGCGTTGAAGGGATGCGAGTGAAACGGTTTCACGACTACGGCATGCGTGTACACGAGTGCACTCACTGTTAGCAAGGGTTCGAAGTGCTCCTTGCAAGTGCGCATGGCGTGCTTGAAGAAGCGGCTGAGCTTCTCGAAGACCTGGCCGCTCGACTGGTGCTTCGCCGACACCGCCTCGAGCACGGGCCACAGCTCTCGCACCACCATTGCAACTGGGTGCTCTCGCCCCGCCTAGCGACATCGAACAACGCGCGATTGAGGGCGGGGCAGGCGCGCGGGGGTCATCATGACACACGAGTATGCACCTAGCATGACACACGCTAACCTGCCCGGTCGGAGTAGCTCAACTAGACAGACCTACGTGGTATTGGCTTTGACGACAGTCTCGTACAGCTTCATGGAAGTGTAATATCTACCGACTCGACCACCGTATTTTGCGCAAAAAATAAAATAAAAGGTATATTGCCGTGACAAAATAGGGAACACGTTCAAGCAAAAGCAGGATAAACACAAGACTTCTTTTCTTAAGTATGTCTGCCTGTGAGAACTTCGCCCTTCGGCGACAGCCTTGTCATACAGCAACAACGACAACTACAACAACGACGGTAAACTCACCTGCATCACCGGGTTGGCGCGACTGACCACGACCGTGAGCCTGTCGAGCTCCTGCTGGGCCAGCTTCGCGTCGCCGCCGGCCACCCCGTTCCGCTGCAGCCCCGTCGCCATCGGCTCCACCAGCCTTCGGATCGCCGCCGCCGCGGGATCTGGTGCCAGGGTGCTGATCACGTAGGAGAGACCCTGCCACCGAACCCACAACAAAACCATAAACAGAGCAGCAGCCAAGTGCACCCCGAAAGATGCAGAGCAGCAACATAAAAAGAGAGAGAGAGAGAGAGAGAGATGAATACATGCTTCCGTACGTTCAGTTCCGTTGCGATTCTGCTACGGTTCGCACCGGATGGGTGTCAGCTTTCTCCAGACGTCCGACAAAATTGTACAAAAAATAACAAAATAACGGCAATTTCACCTCTAATAGTTCTAGCTCGTCCTTAATGTCGATGCGGTGCTCCTCCCGCGCCTTAGCCTCGTTAAGGTGACCCTGCAACAGACCCAACACCTGCTCCCCCATCAGCTGCCCACAGGAGTGGCATACATTCTGCACGCCCCCAGGAGAACAGAAAAAAAACAGACAAGCAAAGGACACAGCAAATTAGGAGGGAGCATCATCTTTGTCGAAAATCGTCAACAGAGAAGTGCAGCACACATGTACAGGGCGGAGCAGATGCATAAAATACTACCATGTCGTGCAGAAAAACATTCGCATAGATACATTCACAGAAGACAAACCAGTAGAAGTTACTGGCCCGTAGCAGGGATCCTCCCAGCAGTGAACATGACGTAGCTTACCCCACCCCCCCCCCCCCCC